AGCTATAGTTTCTTCTTTCTTTGACTTCCATGACACCAAGGTTTCTCCAAATTTCACAAGATAGCTTGTGACAGATCTCCTGGTCTACAGGCAAGAGCCCCAGTCAGAGTCACAAAAGGTTTATAGATGTTTGGTCTCGGTTGATGGCATTAGGAGTCCCAGACTTGGTGATGCTTTCAGATATCTAACAATCCTTAGAGTAGCTTCCATGTGTGATTGTTTTGGGGCATGCATATACTGGCTCAACACTTGTACTCCAATTGAGATATCTGACCTAGTCATGGTCAAGTACAAAAGTCTGCCAACAAGCCTTTGATATTCTCCAGCATCATTTAGTATAGGATCTTCATGGCCTGCACCTTTGTTAAACGTTCTGTCATACTCAATTGAAGTAAGTTTTTGAATGCACTCCAAAGGAATATCAGTTGTCTTTGATCCTCCTAAGCCAAGTTCAGAGATTAACTCCAAGGAATACTTCCTTTGACACATGTGTATTCCTCTTTTCGACCTGGCAAATTTAATACCTAAGAAGAATTTTAGTTCCCCTAGGTCTTTCATCTTGAACTTCTTCTGAAGATCTTCCCTTGTTTTGACTAACAGATCATTGTTGCTTCCTGTGATGATCGAGTCATCCACGTAGATTAGGATCACAACTATGTCACCTCCTAGCTTCTGTGTGAAAAGTGAGTAGTCAAAGTGGCTTTGAACAAAGCCCAACTGTTGTAGAGCTTCAATCAACTTGAGATTCCACTGTCTTGGTGCTTGTTTCAGACCATATAGTGATTTTTGTAGTTTGCAGACTTGTTTGGTCTCCCCTGTCTAGCAAACCCATCTGGAATGGTCACATAGACCTCTTCTAACAGATCTCCTTGCAAGAAGACATTGTGAACATCCATTTGATAGATGAACCAATGTCTAGAAGCTGCCACAACTACTACTAATCTAACAGTAACCATTTTAGCTACTGGTGAAAATATTTCTTTGTAGTCCAACCCTGCTTGTTGACTATAACCCTTTGCTATCAATCGTGCCTTATACCTCTCCACTTCTCCTGATGATTTATATTTAACCTTGAACACCCATTTGCAACCAATGCGAGTTTTTTCCTTAGGCAAGTTCACAATGCTTCAGGTGTTATTTACTTCTAGTGCTGCAATCTCCAATTTCATGGCTTCAATCTACTTTGGATCTACAGCTGCTTCTTTGTAACTGGAGGGCTCCACAATAGAGGAGTAGGAATTTAAGGCAACCTTATAGGAGGGAGTCAAATACTCATAACAAATATAAGATGATAGAGGGTAGGCACAATTGGATTTTTTGGTAATGACAAAATCCTGGATCCACAAAGGTTGTTTAACAGTTCTAGAGGATTTTCTAACTGTTTCAGGTTGTTGTTGCTCAGGGATAGGTAATGAACTGATGACAGAGTCATCGGCTACTGTGCTATCAGGTGCAGCTGGGCATATAGAGTGATCCACAGTTGTGAAAGGAATTGGAGATGGAGGACTTTATGTGAGTAAGTCTTCTTGAGTAGGTGGTTGTTATGTTGTTAGGTGTTCTGTTTGGAAAAGGTTTTGGTAGATCGGGTGAAAGTTCTAACACTGAAAACAGAGGTAGTGTAGAGGGTGTAAAATGTTTGAAAGGAAGCAAATCTTCTCTGAAAACTATATTTCTACTGACAAAGAATGATCTAGCATATAGGTCATAGAGTTTATACCCCTTTTGAGTGGAAGAGTACCCCATTAAGGCAACGGGAATAGCTCTTGGTGACATTTTATTAGTAATACTAGGATTTGATGCATAGGCAAGACAACCAAAGGTTCTCAAATGGCCAAGGTTAGAAGGATGTGAATGCAACATTTCAAAGGATGATTTATTCTGTAAGATAGCAGAGGGTAACCTATTGAGTAGATAGACAGCTGTAGCAACACATTCTCCCCAGAACTTCAAAGGTACAACTCCTTAAAACCTCAGAGACCTAGCTACATTCAAAATTGACCTATGCTTCCTCTCTACTATACCATTCTGTTGAGGTGTATAAATATAAGAGCTCTGGTGTACAATGCCATTTTCCTTAATCAACTCATCAAACTGAGAGTTAAAAAATTCACAGCCATTGTCTGTTCTCAAAGTCTGAACATTAGAATAGAACATATTCATTACTAAAGCCAGAAACTGCTTCACCATAACAAAGGTTTCAGCTCTATTATTCAATAAGAATATCCAGGTATACCTAGAGAAATCATACACTAGTGTTAGAAAGTATCTCTTACCATCATGTTTAGGTACTCTATAAGGACCCCAAACATCACCATGTACTAGCTAGAAAGGTTTATTTGAACTAGTAGTGCTGATAGAAAATGAGAGTTTTGACTGTTTTACAAGTGGACATACAGTGCAGTGATGATTTTTATCTAATTTAAACTGTTTCAAGGACTCTATTTTTCTGAGTACATCTAAAGGAGCATGAGCTAATCTATTATGCCATACAGATAGTGGAACATTAGCAGACACTGAATAGCAAACTTCTCTGTTAGACTTCTGTAGTTGTAATTGTACTGGTAGTTGAACTTATGTAGGAGCTGGTTTCAAGTAGTATAGGCCACAGTCTTCTTTACCAATCCCCCTCACCTGCCCATTGAAGAGGTCCTGGAAGAGGCAGAAGTCAGGAAAAAATACCACACAACATTTTAGTTCCTTTGTCAACTGTGACACAGACAAAAGGTTAAACTTGAAGTCAGGAATATGTAGCACATTTTGTATTTCCTAATCCCTGAATATACTAGCTGTCCCTGTGTTTGAAATTGATACCACATTACCAGTTGGTAGATGCACTTTTTCACCTTTTAGACTAGACTCTTTGTCCAATTTGTTCAACAAAGTAGAATTTGCTACCATGTGGTTAGTAGCTCTAGTATCAATTATCCACCTATCATCAATTATTCTGGATAGGAATGAAAATATACCCGTTGCTGCTGGTTGAGCAGAGCATGTTTCTTCATTCCCTTTACCAAGCATCTATAAGATTTGTTGGTATTGTTCTGGAGTAAAGTAGGGTGCTGAAAGGGGTGGTGGTATCAACTGAGTTTTGCCACTATCACCATGGTATCCTCCACTGCTCCTGCAAAATTAGCTGCTGAAAAAGGGTCCTGACTACCAGTAGTATGCATGAGTGGTCCAGTATAAGTTCCAGAACCACCATTATTTCCTGCAAAGTTAGCTGTAGGAAATATGCCTCCCTTTTTCTAATGCTTGAAATCAGCAGGATAACCATTCAATTTAAACAATTCTCTCTAGTGTGCCCTTTGTAGTTGCTGTAGTCACATATGAGGTTAAAACATTTCTTAGGTTTCTAATGGAATCCACCTCTAGCAGATACAAGAGCAGTAATATCAGGATTCTCTATAGTCACACATGTGTGTACAATTGCTCTCTGGCTTTCCCTTTCCATTAGCATAGAGTAAGCCTTGTTAACAGAGGGAGTTGGTATCATCATGAGCAGTTGACTTCTAGCTTACTCATACGACTCATTTAGTCTCATAAGGAACTGTAGAAGCTTCAATCTTTTCATGAACACAACAAATTCACGCGATTTCTCACAGTCACACCCAGGGAGTGGACCTAGACTATCAAACTCGGCCCACAGTAGACGTAGTTTTGAGAAATAGGAAGAAATTGAGCTAGTACCTTGATTGATTGTAGCAATGCCCTTATGAATCTGAAAAATTCTAGAGAGATCAACTTTGTCGAACCTCTCTTTTATATCATTCCACACAACACTCGCATTTGAGGAGTAAACAAATCCACTAAGTAATTTTGGCGATACACAGTTCATTATTCACGATAGCACTATTGCATTACATCTCTCTCATAGATCCACTAGATTTGGACCATAGTTTTCTCGCTTGCATGTACCGTCTATAAACCCTAGCTTATTTCGCCCTAAAATGGCGATTCTCATTGCACGACTCCACACCGAGTAATTCTCCGGACCTTGTAGTTGTAGTAAGATCAAAATTGCTCCAGAATTATCATTTGAATTCAGGAACAGAGGATGATTACGACTTAGCTTCTCAGGAACTTCATTATCGATTTCTGCCATTGTTGAGCTTTACCTGCAGATACAGAGCTAAGCAATTGAACTCGAACTAATCAAACACACAATTGAGAGATTTAGATTCGAGCGACAGGATCTGATACCATGTCAAATTAACCAATGAACGAGAATGAAATCGATAGAGTAATAGAGAGAAGAGGAGCTGAAGAAAACTTTCTGCATACTACAGTAATGAGGCGTACCTCATATATATACACATACCAGCTAACTACATCTCTAACCGACTAAGCTGACTCCTAACATAAATAACTGACTCATTAGCTTACTAACTAACCATTACACATCAACGTGCTATGCTCTCAACATTTTCAAATATATGAAAATTATGTCTAAAAATTTTAAAAATTTATGTTTGAATTTGTTGTCAAACTTAAGAAGTTTGACTTTCTATATTCCAACTTCATCAAACAAATTGGGTCTAAGGAAGTATTCTTGTAAGTTCTAACAGCAGATCACGGTTATAGACTCTGATCTCAGTCTCGAACTGAACTATGCGCACCACCTGGGTTCTACTCTAATTCTCTCCAGAAACATAGGAGTAGTTAATCTTACTTTCTTTTTCTGACATAATAATGCTAACTATATTGATTTAATGAAGTTCTAGGTTTCATTTTAACATTATTTCCGATAGTGAGTAATTTCAGATTATATCTCTTTATAGAACTTAATAACAATATTGTCATTTTTAACGGAAATATTACACTCTCAGTGGCAGAGCCACCTATGTTTGAGGGCTTTCAAAGTGTCAATGACATTCTTTCCCAAAAAAATTACATTGTATAGCTAGGCGTATAGTATATGTTAAATGATCCAAGTTAGTAAAGTCAACTAGACCAGAATAAAAATGACGATAGTACGAAGAAACAGAGAGTTCAAAAGTTGCCTGATTTTCGTGAGCAGTGTCATTATGATAATCCTCTTCATAACTGCATGGATCCAGTTTCTGTCCAGCTTCAATGGACTCGAAACGTCTTGATACAAGAACGGCGGCAGACTCGCCGGAAAAAGCCACCGGCAGCTTTCTTATAATGCCACTGCAGCTAGTCCTCCTTGAGCTTGGTAGAAAATGATTTAAGCAGCTTCTTGATCTTACAACCCAACTTGCCATTGAAATTTTCTTGAAGAAAATAACGAAAGATTTTAGGATGCTCTTTAGAAGGTAGTAAGATAATGAGCTCAAGGTTGATGTATGTAATGTGTACCATAAATATGAGGAAGACAGCTCCCTTTTCCCCCCTACTCTTTCTCTTTCTGGAAAGTATAGTCGCCGGTATGGAAACTCAGGGTGGATTTATAGGAGAAATTATGGAGCACGTGAGCATATTCTTTTTGTAAAATTAGATATTTTATGTACATAGTTTCTAAAATTGATATAATATTAACCGTAATGAAACAGAGGGGGGCGATTTATAGGAAAAATTATGGAAAACGTGAAGCCATGATTTTTCCGCAAAATTGGATGTTTTATGTACATCTTTTCTAACATTGGTACTATAATATTAACTGTTAGCGTCCATACTCCAAGAAGGTTGAATGATACACTTGGTTGAAGGTTGAATTATTGACGAAGAGGAAAAGGGATCAATTTTCACTTAATATATTTTTTTCTCCTTTTTTTTTAGTAGTGCACCCATATTGTACTAGAAATTTTAAATTTGCCTATAGAAACAGATCATTTGGTTTGGACTAGTTATGCATAGTAATGCATGAGGGATTAATTTTTATTGAATATCTCGTTTGTTGTATTAAAAATTACTACTACCCATTGTATAACTATAATATATGTTTTCTTTTTTGTTTAAAGAATATTTGGTTACTATCACTACTAGAAATTCGGTAAAAACCGACCAAGGTCGACCGACCAACTTTGGTCGGTCAAATAACCGACCAAAGTTTGGTCTGTTTTTCAAAATATTTAATTTTTAAATTTTTTTTTTACGAAACCGACCAACTTTGGTCGGTTTTCTTTGGCGCAAAAATACGGGAAACTATTTTTGAGTCCCGCGAAATTTATTTTTCAAGAAACCGATAAACTTTGGTCGGTTTTTCAATTAAAATAAATAAAAATTAATATTAAAAAAATCGACCAAAATTGGCCGGTTAATTCGTCCGGTCATTTAAAAAAACCGACCAACTTTGGTCAGTAATTTTACTTTTTAATAAAACCGACCAACTTTGGTCGGTTTTCTTTGGCGCAAAAATACGGGAAACTATTTTTGAGTCCCGCGAAATTTATTTTTCAAGAAACCGATAAACTTTGGTCGGTTTTTCAATTAAAATAAATAAAAATTAATATTAAAAAAATCGACCAAAATTGGCCGGTTAATTCGTCCGGTCATTTAAAAAAACCGACCAACTTTGGTCAGTAATTTTACTTTTTAATAAAACCGACCAACTTTGGTCGGTTATTTTCGTGCGAAAATACAATTAAAGAGTATAAATCAAATAAAAGATAGTCTTAAAAATAAAATATACCAATGGTCTAGTGGTAGAATAGTATCCTGTCACAGTACAGACCCCGATTCGATTTCCACATGATAAATCTTTTTATTACATAATTAAAATACGGACCAAATATTTTTGGTGAATCTATTAAGTTGTCACGTAATCTGAAATTAAGTGACCCAAGTGTTGGTGTTCTCGTATATTTGGCCGGCATAAGTAAAGCAACATACCAAACTGCCTATTTAATGTAGCATCATCTACCACATGATTTCTCCAATTCCAGTACTCAAACTTGTTGGACATACAGTTACATTAGTTAATTTAAAGCCCCAACCAACTGCCAATTTAATGCAACCATATGACCTCCCAATTCCAACTACTCAAACTTTGTCAACATATACAGAGTTAATTTTAAAGTCCCAACCTCTCCCACAGTTGGAACTTAAGTGGTGATGTTGAAAACATCTAAATGACAATGTTGTTCAAGAGGACCACCTAACGTCATGTCAAACCAGAGTACGAGATAGTTGTAGTATAAAGTTTTATTGCTGCTAACTGTTCAAGACGTGTAAATGCACATACACTGCTCCATTTCTGTTGTATCCAACTCCTCGTCAGTAATGTATTTTTCTTTTCTGTTAGTATCAACAACAAACACAGTATAAATCACGAAACAAAAAAAGCATCATTCTAAACTAGCCTTTCTAATGACTTCATCCCGAAAAAGGAATGGTTAATATAACTTTTCAACCAGCCAAGCAATCCAAAACCCATATTATTTACCCGAAAAATGGATAGAGTTGAATTTGTACATAGTTCTAAGGGTACGTGGTATAAATTGATATAAATCGTAAAAGTAAGTAGAAATATCTAATATTGACGGTAAAGAATGAAATACAAACCAACTTGAATAGAGAATGATTTATGGATAAGCTAGATGAATCAATATATAAAGCTCAAAAAGATAATTTTCCAAAATGAGAGTATCTCAATAGTATCTGAGTTATGTTGTATGAATGCCTTGATGATTTCTCTTTACAGAAATAATAGCATCCTTTTTATAGTGGAGGGATCCTACTTTGAATATAATTAAAAATACATAGTGGGGAACCCATGATAGATTAGCTTTTCCATGATTTCCGCCGAGATTCTCTCTATTAATGCGGCTGTAACGGTTCTTGTCCCTTGGCTCGATCTTGATCGGACTCGATATTGACTCAGGGCCCGGTATTGACTTGGGCTCGGATTGGTTGGTCTCTGGCTCTTAAGCTTGATAACTCCTCTTCACATCGTAGCTCGATATTGGCTCGAGCTCGACAATGGCTTCGAGCTTGGAATTCGATTGTTTCCTAAAACATGAGTTCGGTGACCTGGCTTCAAATCTCATCATGATATTATGAAGACGCTACTCGGTCCACTATGTTCCGATCTTGACTAATCATACGAAGGTCAAAACTGGTTTGACCATATACAGATAGTCCCTTCGTTTCTCGGGAAGGATGTGGCGAGAAACGACATGATTTTTCAACGGCTTGACTAGATATACACTAACGTTTGCATCGAGCCCGACCATGACATACGTGATAGATGTCCCGTCAATTCAGTTACCAAAGCATTAAATGCATATCAGACGACGGTCAGCCACTACTGATATTGAACCGTCATTGCCCAATCTATAAGTAGCTCCTCTCTTCACTATTTTTCACTTTTAGATCTTCAAATCTTCTAAGTTCCTTTTCGCATCTTCTGAGTTTTTCGTCTGCAAATTTGTGATTTTCACCGCAAATTCCTTCTCTAAACATCAAATACTTCCGATCTTCATCCACAGAATTATAGATGGCAAAAACGTCTAAAACCGTTCCGCAAAAAGAGGCCGCTTCTTCATCTCGACCCGTCGGTGGCGAAGATGTGGAGGAGCTTCGCCCTGAGGAATTTATTCCGGTGGGGTGTTCAAATGTAGGTGATTTTAAAATTGAAAAGCCTTCTCCGGTACCGGGCCGATGTGAGCCGATGTCGAGGTACCAGTGTTCTACCGAGAAAGTTCTCGAGAAATTCATACAAGAATGCAATTGGGATAATAAGCTCGTAGTAATCCCATCGCCTGACGAATCCATTACTACTCACGTGAAAGGGTTTTTAAGTGTTTATACTTATCCTTTCACGTTGGGTCCTCTAGACCCCGTCATCAATGCCTTTTGCAAGAGGTACGATGTGACCCTTGGCCAGATCCATCCTTCATTTTGGAGGATAGTGATTCTTCTCTAATTTTTCTCTAGTAAGATCGAGGGGCGTATCTTCACCCTCGATCACCTTATGTGCCTTTATAGTCCCCGACTTTATCGAGGAGGATTAATCAAGCTTGCTCGTTGAGCATCCAAAGCGCCATTCTCGAGTATTGATGAGACTCGCGATCGGTGTTGGATGGGCCGTTTTGTCCGAATCAAAACTTCGGACTTGATCCCTGCCGATGACTTGCCGTTTCCTGAGAAATGGAACTCGAACCGTGAGTAAACATTTCACTTTGTTCGTTTTAATTTTGTGACTGCCTTTCATTTTGTTGATCCATTTTTATTTTCTTGTTACAGCCATATCTCGGATGCCGGAACCAATTCCAAATCTTAAACAATGGGTTGAAGGTTTGGTGCTACAGAGACCGTACTCCGAGCGTGCTTGGGTCGAATTATCAAATGGTCAATGGGAGGCCCATAGTCATGGTAAGTCTCTTTCTCGATTTGTCTATTATTTGTTCTTCTTTATTTGCTTATTCCCTTTTTTGTAGGATATGGAGAGGATGTAGCCATGAGGCCCCCATCTGGTGATGAAGAGGTTCCTGCCCCAAAGCAGATTAAAGAAAGGAAGAGAAAAGATGTACCGAGCTCCTCGAGCTTGGAAAAGAAAAAACCGGCTAAGAGATCTCGCAAGCCAAAGGGGGGCTCCGGTGTCATGCCTTTGGAAGTGGTCCGCCGATTAAGGGACGAGTCCGAAGGAGGAGAAGAGGATTTAGCCTGTGTACAGGCTAATGTTGTGATTCAACATTCTTCCGAATTGGCGGAGGCAAATCAAGAAATCCTGTCCATAATCCTAGAACAAGAAGAAGCCGAGATTATCCCTTCTCGAGCTAAGATGATTGAAGGGGAGACCGAGGGTAGGACTTCTCGGGCAGTAGAAGATATTTTGAGGGATGAGCTCGGGATAGTTGATATTAGTGGATCCCCTCAGATTTCGGATGCCATGATCCAAGAGGCCAGCATATTGGAAGGTCGGTCCTACGAGGGTATTCAGGAATCAGCCGATATCTACGGTTTTCTGGATGGGCTCGAGTCAGCTGCCTCGGAGGAGGTTACCGATTTTGGTGGAATGCCGATACCAAAGAAAGCATCATGGTCGGGTCCTCCCAAGCCTTTATCGGTTCACAAACTAGTGGATCGATTCCCAGCCTCGAGTGTCGATCCTGACCGTAGGCGGAAGATAGTGCTCTCCGTGCCTGAGGATACCCGAATTCTTTCTCCCCCCTGTGGGGATAGCCAATTACCTTCGGTCCTTGGTGACCGAAGAGGATCAATCAGTGATGAATGCGGTAGGGCTCGTTTATCTTTTCAACGAGGCCCAACATGCTTTGAATCGGGTAACTATGATGGCATCTTTGTTGTTTCTTTTATACTTAGAATTATAGGTAATTCTAACGTTTTTCCTTCTATTTGTAGGCTTCGGTGTTGCATCATGAGGCCTTCCTCCGAATTCGAGAGGAGCACGATGCTGAGGTTTGGAGCCTCACTGAGAAGAGTGACTCTTACAAGCTCCTTAGTTTAAAACT